CGGGCGCAAAGGGGGAGCAAAGGTGTCTTCACCAGAGAGGAAGGCCTGGGGGAGCCATTGAGGTGTGGGGCGGAAGGGGACAGCTAGTGAGCCAGACTCCACCTGGCTAATGCTAGAGAGCCACAGTGGGGTTTGGAGTGGGAGAAACCCCTTCCCAATTTATATTCTCAGTGGGAGCCCTTGTCACCAAGCTCTTGTGTGTTCATCTTCATCACTCTGATCCAGAGGCTTCTAAATGTCCCTGCAAGTTTCTAAAATGCCCAGTGGACCCTTTGTTGCCCCCTAGCTTAAAGCCCTCAGTATGAAGCCCAGGCCCCTTTCCAGAGCTGGCAGGGCCCTCCAGGGGCCGGGCAGTGGCTGCGCGCTGGCCCTGCGCTGCAGTCACCTGCCCCCGCAGTTCCTGGACAGCCCCTGCCCCATGTCCCCGGACCTTTCTCCCTCTTTCCTGGCTGAGTCTTACTCATCCTGCAAGACTCCGCGGGGCTTCCCCGAGCTGGCGGCAAGCTCCCCGAGGCCCCTGCGTCCCTCTGTTTTAACAGCGAGGCCGGATGGAATGGTGGGCGAGAGGCTGGGTGCTGGCGCCACACGGCCTGGGCTTTAATCCAGGCTCGAGGGTTGTGATCTTGGGCAAGTTACTGAACTTCTGCCTCCATTTCTGCACCTATAAAATGGGGTCGATAATAATAAAGGCACCTACCTCAGGGGCTATTGTCCTAATTACAGGGGTTAATGTAGGTAACAGTGTCCGGCATACCTTGAAGCTTCATAAATGTTAGCTGTGGCCATACTGCATTGGAATTTTGTTTGTATGTTTGTCCCTTCTACCCCAACACGTGCATACAACCTAAGCTTCTAATGCAGTAGCCACTAGCTACATGTGTCTTTTTAAATTGAAATGATTTAAATTAAAACTTCATTAAATTCTTAAAAATTAATATTAATAAATCCAGTTCTTCGGTCGCACCAGCCACACTCAAATGCTTTACAGCCATGTGTGCCTAGCGGGTACCGTAATGGGCAGCACAAATAGAGAACATGCCCAGCACAGCAGCAAGTTCTAGTGAATACTGGAAAGGATGGCGCCACACTAGACTGTGAACTTGAAGGCAGGAGCTATGTCTTGCTCATCTTTGCATCCCCTGTACCTGACCCAGTGCATGCTACACTGTAGATGATCGCCTGATGATCTGAACCTCAGCATTTCATAGGTTTTTAAAGGAAACAGTGTTTCCAAGAGAGCCAGTAACTTGCTGAGGGTCACACAGCAATTCCAGGTCCATGTCCCTGCCAGGTTAACAGTCTGTGGTTGCCCAGGTCTCTCCCCAGGGCATCACCCTCCCTGGCCTTCCCACATGGCCTGACCCAATGGCTCCCCGTCTCCTTGGTTACTGGCTTTCTGCTCTGGCCCCTGGGAAACCTTGTCCCTGGCCAGGCCACTGCAGCCCCTCTCTCCATCCAGGCGCCCACTCCCAGCCCTGGGTGCAGTTCCAGCGCCGGGCTGCCCGCCTGCCTGTCAGCTCCACCTACAGCCAGCTCTGGGCCTCGCTCACACCTGCCAACACCCAGCAGGAAATGCGGGCTTTCCCTGCCTTCCTGGGCACTGAGGCCTCCAGCTCAGGTATGCTGGATGCCTGGCATGCAAGGGGTCTCCCCCCTACACCCCACCCCGCCAATGCCCCAGGATTGGCCCTCAGCCTTTGTGTCCTCTTCCCTCAGGCAATGGCTCCTGGCTGGAGCTGATGCCCTTGGCTGCTGTGAGTGTGCACCTGCTGACAGGTAATGGGACAGAGGTGCCACTCTCAGGTCCCATTCACCTGTCCCTGCCTGTGCCCTCAGAGGCACGTGCCCTTGCTGTGGGCACCAGCATTCCAGCCTGGAGGTTCGACCCCAAGAGTGGTAAGTGCCTCCTGGGGTTGCAAGGCTGGAGTTGGGGGAGGAAAGTGGGACTTAGATGGGAAGGACATTGAGTTTGATCCAACCGCTGCCTCTCCCAGGGCTGTGGGTACGCAATGGCACTGGTGTGATCCGGAAGGAAGGCCGGCAGCTCTACTGGACCTTCGTCTCCCCCCAGCTGGGGTACTGGGTGGCTGCTATGGCATCCCCCACGGCTGGTGAGAGCAGTGGTTCAGTGGGGGTGGGGGTGGGGGAGAGGGAGGCAGGAGCGTGGACTCCTCCTCAAAGGCAGGAAGAGCATCCACAGCTGAATGCTAAGCCCTCGCCTGGCACAGGGCTGGTCACCATCACATCAGGCATCCAGGACATTGGCACCTACCACACCATCTTCCTGCTCACCATCCTGGCAGCCCTGGCCCTGCTGCTGCTCATCCTGCTGTGTCTGCTCATCTATTACTGCCGGTGAGCACCCAGCCTCCCCCACCGGGGCCGCACTATGTCTGGTCCTGTGCTGGGCACTGGGGCCCCATAGATGCGTACAACACAATTCTGGTCCTCAAGGTGTTGAAAGGAAAGGACTTCATATGCACCTGCAAAGCCCTGACAGACTGGTGGCTTAAGAGGGGCAGCAGAGTGGGGCAGAGGGGGTGGGGGGCAGGCAGGAGGCAGGACCTGCAGGCCAGCCCCTCCAGAGGTGAGCTGCGGCTGCTCTTTCCAGCCCAGCTCTCGCTCCCAGGGGACCCCAGGCCAGACACCCTGGTGGCTTAGGTGCTCTTTCCAGGTTCTCATGGTACCTCCCACCAGCAAAGGAGCGAACAGTTCACCGCAGGGGAATACAAACGTACACAGCTGCTGAATGGGCCCAGGCATTCTCCCTGGCCCTGCAACTATGCCCATCCCTCACCTTGCAGCTGAGGCGGGAGGTGGGGGGGGATGTGTTAGGGAGCTACTCTGGGCCTCCCCCTTTCCTGAGGGTCCCCGTCTGCTCCCTCCTCTCCAGGAGGCGCTGCCTGAAGCCCCGGCAACAGCACCGCAAGCTGCAGCTCTCCGGACCCTCCGACGGTAACAAACGAGACCAGGCTACTTCGATGTCCCAGCTCCACCTCATCTGTGGGGGACCCCTGGAGCCCGCCCCGTCGGGGGACCCCGAGGCTCCGCCTCCAGGCCCCCTCCACTCGGCCTTCTCCAGTTCCCGGGACTTGGCTGCCTCCCGGGACGACTTTTTCCGCGCCAAGCCGCGCTCTGCCAGCCGCCCGGCAGCCGAGCCTTCGGGTGCCCGCGGGGGCGAGGGTGCCGGGCTCAAGGGCGCCCGCTCGGTCGAGGGTCCCGGCGGGCTGGAGCCCGGCCTGGAGGAGTACCGGCGGGGGCCCTCGGGGGCCGCGGCCTTCCTGCACGAGCCGCCCTCGCCGCCGCCGCCCTTCGATCACTACCTGGGCCACAAGGGGGCGGCAGAGAGCAAGACCCCCGACTTCCTGCTGTCGCAGTCGGTGGACCAGCTGGCGCGGCCGCCGTCGCTCAGCCAGGCGGGACAGCTCATCTTCTGCGGCTCCATCGACCACCTCAAGGACAATGTCTACCGCAACGTCATGCCCACCCTGGTGATCCCTGCGCACTACGTGCGCCTCGGTGGCGAGGCGGGCGCCGCGGGCGTAGGCGATGAGCCTGCCCCGCCCGAGGGCGCGGTCCCCGGCCCCGCGCGCCCTTTTCCCCAGCCCGACCCCCAGCGCCCGCTAATGCAGGGCCACTCGGGCGCGGGGGGCGAGGGCGGCGGGGGTGGCGGCGGCGAGGGCTGGGGGGGCGGGCGCTCGGCGCCCGTCAGCGGCTCCGTCACTATCCCGGTGCTGTTCAACGAGTCCACCATGGCGCAGCTCAACGGGGAGCTGCAGGCGCTGACCGAGAAGAAGCTGCTGGAACTGGGCGTGAAGCCTCACCCGCGCGCCTGGTTCGTGTCCCTCGACGGGCGCTCCAACTCGCAAGTGCGCCACTCCTACATCGACCTGCAGGCGGGCGGCGGGGGCCGCAGCACCGACGCCAGCCTGGACTCGGGCGTCGACGTGCACGAGGCGCGGCCCGCGCGCCGCCGGCCCCCGCGGGAGGAGCGGGAGCGCGGCCCGCCCGCCGCTCCGCCGCCGCCGCCCGCGCCCCCGCGCCTGGCGCTCAGCGAGGACACCGAGCCGAGCAGCAGCGAGAGCCGCACCGGCCTCTGCTCCCCCGAGGACAACTCGCTGACGCCGCTGCTGGACGAGGTGGCGGCGCCCGAGGGCCGGGCGGCCACGGTGCCCCGGGGTCGGGGCCGCAGCCGCGGGGACAGTTCCCGCAGCAGCGCCAGCGAGCTTCGGCGCGACTCACTCACCAGCCCGGAGGACGAGCTGGGGGCGGAGGTGGGCGACGAGGCGGGCGACAAGAAGAGCCCGTGGCAGCGGCGGGAGGAGCGGCCGCTCATGGTGTTCAACGTCAAGTAGCGTCACCGCCAGGCCTGGAGCCGCCTCGGGGTCTGCCCCCGCCCCTTCCACCCGGGCCCGTCCCCAGGGTGCGCTCCCCAGGGGCCTGCGGGGGCCCTCGCTCTTAGCCCCACCTCGGGCCGGAAAGGCGCCCAGGGGCCTGCGGAGCCGGTCTGTGGTATGTGCTGGGTAATGTCTTGGGAAGGGGCCCTGTGTCTGCCTCCGAGCCGAGGGAGGGAGGGGTCTGGCCCCCCACTGGGAGGTACTGGGGAGGAGGGCTGGGGGGGAAGCAGTGCCTGTATAGACGTGGCTGTACATAGAAAGCTCTATTGTGGGGAAGCAGAGGGGCGGCCCAGCTGCTAGCCTGAGCTGCTAGTGTAAGGGCTGGGAAGGGAGGGGGCGTTCCCTGTGGACCCCTGGGAGGGGAGGGGGTGCTGCTTGCTGACTAGCCCACCTCTGGGCTACGATGTCACAGGGCTGGTGGCTGGGGCAGCTCTGGGGACTAGGGGGTAATGTGATGGGGCCGTTGTGAGCAACAGCAAATATAAAACTGGTGAGGTTGACACGTGTTTCTTTCTGTAGGGCGGGGGGATGTTGGCACTGGACGAGGACCCCTGTTGAGGGGACCCCTGAAGAGGGCAGACAGGGTGGCCAAATCAGACACTGTTAAGAAAGTGTACAAACTTTATTGGCGCACACACACACACACACACACACACACCCCTGTGGATAGGGAACAGCACCTGGCCACAGGGTCCACAGAAATTGGGGGAGGGCACGGCAGCTTGTAACGTGGCTTTCGCCACAGCCCCCCTTCTGATAGGGAAGGCCTTAGAGTGAGGCCCCACCTCCCACCGTGCTGGAAGGACTCAGCATGGTGGGGTTGTGAGAATTTCAGTGGGGAGAGGTGTTGGGGAGGCCTGAGCAGTGGGGACCTGCTGAGCAGGGTCCCGAGGGCTGCGGAGCATCTTCAGTCCTGTCCCTCACAGCAGCTGTCTCGGGGCTGGGTTCCTCAAAGGGGTGTCCCAGCGCAGGGCCCCCCTGCGAAAACACTTGGTGCCCCTGGCCCCACAGCGGAAGCCAGCAGGACAGCAGTGACGCCGATCTGCACAACAGATGCCCTGGATGGTCAGAAGGCGATAAGAGGGTTGGACAAGGCAGGACCTGGCCCACGGCCATGACCAGCCTGAGGGTGGGGGGTGACACTGACCTGGCGGTAGGGACAGCAGGCCCAGCCCCCTTGGCTGTCTTGGCAGCAGGTCTGGTTATCATGGCAGAAGTGCCCTGACCCACACTGCACGTCCCCCACACCCACATGAGGCCCCTGGGCCAGGCGGGCAGCAGGCTGGGCAGAGGCTACTTCCTTCTCGCAGGACCGGGCCTTCACGTTGCAGGTGTACCCAGCCGGGCAGCAGTGCTGGCGATCCTCACAGCACACAGCCTGGGGCGGGGCGGGGGGATAGCATTATGCTCCTGTCCCGCTGAACTTGGCTCCCTTATCCAGGGGCAGGCGGGCGGGCGGGCAGGCACTCACATGGGGCAACTGGCAGCAGGCCCAGCCCCCACTCAGGCTTGGGCAGCAGGTCTGCCCCACCGGGCAGCTGGTGTGCTGGTCACAGCCAATGTCTCTGGGGCGGGCAGGTGTCTTTTCCAGTCCAGCCACTGTCTCGTTCCCCCTCTGACACTGCCCCTTGGCCGTGCACGTGTAGCCCTGGGGGCAGCAGTGCTGCCGGTCTACACAGCAGACAGCCTGGGGGGAGGGCAGGAAAGGGTGGTCTACTACTATGTGGGGCACAGTGCTGAGCCCCAGGCTACCCCAGCCCGCCTCTCCTGCTCACAGCTGAGAACTAGGCGTCACCTGTCACCTAGGCAAAGCAAAGGGGTAGGAGTCTGGCCACCTACCTGCCCAGGCCAAGCCACTGCCCACCCCCCAGTGCTGTCCCCCTACCCATGCACCTTTGGGACAGGACAGCAGCCCCACTCCCCAGACAGGAGTTTGCAGCAGGTACTGGCAGAGGGACAGCTGGTGAAGTTATCACAGTGGATGTCACTCTTCATGGCTTGTGGGTCTGGCAGGCTGTGGTGGGCAGGGGCCTTCTCCATCCAGGGCACCTGGTAGGGCCCCAGTTCACAGGTACCCTTCTCTGTGTCACATGTAAACCCCTCTGGGCAGCAGTGTATGTGGTCCTCACAGCACACAGCCTAGGGTGGATGGAGAAGGGCCAGTGGGCACAGGGCCCTAGCTGGCTGCCACCTCTGCTCACCTACCCACCCCCATTCCTGGGTACCTGGGTAAAAGGGCAGCAGCCCCAGGCCCCCGTCTGTAGGCGGCAGCAGGTGTAGCCATCTGGGCAGCTCACCTCCATGTCACACTTCACCTCCTGCACTGTGAGGGAGGCAAAGAGGACAGGTCAGCAGTGACACTGGGGACCCTCAGGGCTACCCACCCTTTGCCAGCTCCACAGCTGGAAACAGGTGTTGAGGATGGAGGTTCCCACTTACGCCACCCTACAGTTATCCTAAGGCAAGGCCTAGTGGGGAGGAAAGGGAGCCCCGCCCCCAAACCTGTGCCCAGAACAGTGTGGCGGCGAGCCCCTCCTCGTGCTGCAGGTGGAGTGACGTCTGTGGCCTGCCCCGGGTACCTGTGAGTGCGGGCAGCTTGGTGAGGAGGTCTGTAGTGTTCTCCTTGGAGATGCACTTACTCTGGATCAGGTCACACACAGTGTCCTGGGGACAGCAGTGCAGGTGGTCAGAGCAGCAGATGGCCTGAGTGGGAACAAGGGCGGGTCTTTGTGACTTCCAGTCTCAGTTGTGTGCAGGGAGGAGACAGGCTGACGGCTGGCATTGCCCCAATCCCCCACTAGGGGGTGGCGTGAGTCCTGAGTCAGCCAGGCTCCCAGCAACCAGCCAGCCAGCTCCACCCCCGGGAACCGCTGCAAGGCGTGTGCCAGGCTAGGTGGCTGGGGCACATAGCCAAGCTGGCTCCAGCCCCTCACTCACATTGGGCATTGGGCAGCAGCCATACTTCCCACTGGGCAGCTCACAGCAGGTAGAACCATCAGGACACTGGGACCGGCCGTCGGGGCACACAACTGAGGTAGACACGACAGAGGTAGACAAAGCCACTGGAAGAGGAGCGAGGCATGAGGGGCAGCCAGGGTTGGGGGAACTTCTCCCAGCTGGAGTCAGATGAGGCCTCACCCCGGCTCCCAGCCCCTGCTCTCCTTCCTCACCTGCCCGATTAGTCCTCTGTGCAGGGATCTTCTTTGCCAGGGGGTGGGTGCCCATGGGTGTGATGCAGCGGGCATTAACCAGGTCACAGGAGGCACCATGGGGACAGCAGTGCACCTTGTCTTTGCAGCAAGAAGCCTAGGAAGAGATGATCCTGACTCAATCTCTGCCCACCCCCACCCCCTAGCTCTGCCCCCGCCACCTTCCACATGCCCCCATCTCCCCAGACCGGTACCTGGGGTATGGGGCAGCATCCCCAGGAGCCATCAACCATAACGCAGCACGTGGAGGAGTTGGGGCATTCGAACTGGTTCCCGGGGCACTGGACAGCACCCAGAGGGTTGTCATCTGTGGACAGGATGATGCAGGATCAGGATTTCACCAACCCAGCCAGGGAAGGTCATTCCCCCATCGCTCAAGGAGCCGGTGCACCAGGGCCTGCAGGCCTAGCTGCAGGGGGTGGGGTGGTACTAGAGCTTGATTATCTCCCAGGCACCCCTAAAGCCACCCTCCTCACAATCCGGTTCCTGCCTCAGCAAGACCGGACAGTGGGTTGGCATCAGACCAACTCAGCTTGACCTCCCCCCACCCCGTAATCCCTGGACCTGGCCTGGAGTCCTGCATTCTCTTCTTTCCCCTACTATACCCAGAGCTGCCCTCTGTCCAGAACAGGGGGTTGCTTAGTACAGATGCCACGTGAATGAGGGCACCAGGGCTGGAACTGGGGCCACTTGGCTGGCTGGGCTTCTGGGTGCTCCAGGCTCCACATGCTGCCCATCCACCTACCCTCCACCTGTGACCCTGCCACACCCGCTCTTCGGAAGCAGGATCGCCCATCAGAACTGCAGTGGAAGCCCCGTGGACAGCAGTGGTGGCCATCCGCGCATGACACTGCCTGTGGGACACAGAGAAGCCTGCATCAGTGAGGCCTTTTTACCTGGGGCTAGGGGAGTGCAGGAAAAGTGTAAATGCAGACCTGAGCGCCTCCATCGAGCTAATGGCACCCTCACCTTTGAGAATGGGCAGCAACTGGAAGTCCCCAAGACAGTACGAAGGCAGGAGTAGCCAGCAGAGCAGTAGCCATCAGTCTGGCAGGGTCTGTCCATACGCCTGCTCAGTGCTGTGGGCCGTGCATCCTGGGAAGAGAGGGGAGAAGAGACCTGTGCCTGGCCGCCTCCTCTGGTCAGCCAAGACGACCCTTTGGGAAAACCCAGGCTGCCAGCTCTTGCCTGGGCTGAAGGGCGCTCACCAGAACGGGATTGCAGCAGCTGTAGCTGGCTCCTCCTGGGTCCAGGCAGCAGGCCACAGGGCAGAGCTGACCATCTGGGCACTGTGTTCCAGCCACCAGCCCTGCCACTAGGGCCACACAGCTCACTAGGGTCCACATGGTCCACCTGCAAAAACCAAGGAGCATCTGGCAACTAGCTTAAGCCCATGCCGCCCTCAATTCTAAGGCCACTCGCTCACCTAGCCCTGGACTAAGGTCCAGGCCCAGGACTAACTGAGCCTGTCCAGCAACTCTCTGTCCAGGCAGGCAGAACGCTGTGGAGGTTGAAAGCTTCCTGCCGTGTCCTCCGTGTGTGTCACACATGTACCAGCACATGCACACTATGAGCATGAATACTGGCATGTGTACATGTGTGAGTCTGAGTTCCCAACACATGGCCCGACACCCAAGTCTCTCTGAGCAAGTGTGTAGATGTAGGCCCATGACAGTCAGGGAGACATGATTTTTGTAGGTCTGATCTGTGGGAATGTGGGCCACCTCCAGGGGTGGGAGAAAGGCATCAGTAGCCATGGGAGGGGACAGGGCTGGGGTACAGGGAGGGAGTAGCCAGCCCCTCCACATGCCCCCTCACCTGACACTGTGCTCATCATACCTGCACCCCACTAAGGCCTTGGCGGGGGGAGCAGCCCCATGATGACATGGGAAACCACAGCGTTGAGAAAGTTGTGAAAAGGGAAGTATGGTGGCCAGTGGAATCTGGACTGCCTTCCCCAGAGGCCAATCACCACCTCCCCATGACTGTCCCCTCCTTGCCTAGGGAAGAGGACACAGAGGCTGGGTCAGCCTTTGAGACACCTGTGTTTGAGGGTCCCCCAACACCATCAGGGCTCTTTCAGACTCTCCAAACGTACCACCATCACCCACCCACCCCCTCCCTCTACCCTAGAAGTGAAAATCAACCACATGTGGAGAGGAACCACGTGTGCCTAGTGGGCTGCCCGTCTGAGTCAGCAGGAGAACCCAGCCTCTCACTTCCTACGTACTTCCCCCAAGCTCAGCAGTAGCTCAAAGGGCAGCACCAGAGGTGTTACCCTGCTCAGAGGAGCAAAAACAGTATGATGAACCTCTAGGGAGCCAGTAACAACACTCCCCATTATTTTATTTCTTTGCAACAACTATCCCATGTAGTAATTATCACCTTTACTTTTATTTTTAGAGATGGGGTCTGTCTATGTTGCCCAGGTTGGACTTGAACTCTGGGGCTCAAGCTATCCTCCCAGCTCGGCCTCCCGAGGAGCTGGGACTACAGGCGTGCGCCCCCTCAATCGCTTCCCTTACTTTTCAAGGAGGAAACTGAAGCTCAGAGATACTAAGTACAGTCAGCCCTCCCCTCCGTATCCCTGGGTTCTGAAACCAAGGATTCAACCAACCACAGATCAAAACTACTTCTAAGAAATTCCAGAAAATGTTAACGTTGCTGAAGTGTACTATGTATACCTCATAGGCCTACATGGGGGCATCTGTATGGAACAAGTACAAACTTTTCTTGTCATTATTCCCTAAGCAATACAGTATAACTATTTACATAGCATTCACGTTGTATTGGGCATTCTAGGTAATCTAGAGATGATTTAAAGTACACGGGAGGACATGCATAGTTATATGCAAATGCAATGCCATTTCATATCAGGGACTTGAGTATCCACAGATTTTGGTGTCTGAGGGGGGTCCTAGAAACCAATTCCCCACAGACACAGAGGTCATGTCATAAATCAAGTCCTGGTGACTGGCTGGGCACAGTTGCTCACACTTAACAAGCCCAGCACTTTAGGAAGCCAAGGCAGGAGGATCACATGAGGCCAGCAGATCAAGACCAGCCTTGGGCAACATACGAGATCCCATTTCTATAACAAAAAAAAAAATTAGCCCAGCATGGTAGAACTTGCCTGTAGCCCTAACTACTTGGGAGGCTGAGGCAAGAGGATCTCTTGAGCCCAAGAGTTGGAGGTTGCAATGAGCTGTGATCATGCCACTACACTCCAGCCTGGGCAACAGAGCGAGACCCTGTCTCTAATAACAACAACAAAACAAGGCACAGAAACCGGCTTTGATGTCTCCAGAGCATATTGGACCTGGGTTCATCTCGCGAGTGGCAACCATGGGCAGTGCCTAGGAATGGGCCCCAAACCCCAGGGCGGGTAGATGCAACAGTCAGGACAGAAATGGGGGTGCAGGGACTGTCTGGAAACTGCACTTGGGTCCTAGTCCTGGAATTGCCAGTGACCGATGGCAAGGGCCTCAGAAGCTGCTCGTTGTCGGTGCCTCAGTTCCTGAGTCTGTGTGGACACTGCTGGGGAGAAGACCCAAGAAACCCCCCACCCACTCACCCAAATCCTCTCTCCTTCAATGGCTTTCTTCGAGTGCCCTCTCCCCTAACTCAAAGAACATCCCCAAGAGGCCACCACCTGGCCAGATAAGGATGAAGAAGGCCGGTCCTGGACCGCTGCCCCTCTCACCCCCTCCCCGCCCCCCAGCTCTCGTGCAAAGCAGCTACAGCTGGCCCCTCCTGCTTCCTGGGCGTTCAGCCTCAACCCTCAACAGGCCATCGCGCTGCCCTGGCTTGCTGGGAAGCAGTGCCTGTCTGCACAGGAGCACTGGCACTCCAGTCAGTTCCCTCTGTTTATCCTGAAGCTAGAAGTAGAGTGTGCGTCTACTGAATACACGAACACGCACACAGGACGTGGGGCAGAGGGGGCCGATTCCTCTCCGCAGGGTTGTGAACTGCAGCCTCTCGCCCCTACCCGACACTGCCAAAAAAACCCATGGGAACCCGAGCCTCTTCAAGACCCTGCTCCGTCATCTTCCACTAGGTGGCAGCCCCCCAACTCCGAGTGCCAAGGGGAGAGGAAATTCCCCAAAGGGAAGCCAACTCGGCTGCGAAAGAGCAGGAAAAAGTGGCGCGGAGAGGCGGAAGTCAGTTCGTCCCACCTCCTACGAAGGCGGTAGGGAAGACCCAGACACAGCGCGGGGGTTCAGTCACCACTCCCAAGTCCCTGCCACCTTTGGGAAGCCAAGGTCTCAAGTCCTGTTCCCAGCCCCTCCGAGTTCCCCGACCAGGGCCGGGCGCTTCTCCCGCTCCAAGAGCCGCGGGGATCACCTACCACAACGCCACAGGGGAAAGAGCCGGCACCTGCCGACAGGGGGAGAAGCTGGCTCAAGAATGGGTGGTCCCTGCTTTGGGGGAGCGGGCTGCAGTCTCCCGGGATGCTGGGGAGGGACAGCCCCCTTCTAATGGGGGTCACTGCAATTACTGCTTATTGCCCCCCAACCTCGCTCCAGTCCATCAGAAACCCCCAAAGGAGTTTCTGTAAGTGGGTCTTCTCCGGTCTCCCGGCTGAGACTCCAGAGGAAGCTCAAGCCCACACGGCCCTGGCCGGGTCCCTGGGCAGGAGCAGGCGGGAGATCTGCGCGGCCGCCCTCTTACCTGCGTCGGGTCCGCGATCCCTGGGCAGCAGCCGGCGGCCAGCTCTCGGACTACGGCTCCTCGGCGCGATGGCCCGCCCACTTCAGTTGCCATTGGCCGGGGGGGGGGGGGGGGGGGTCGAGGTCGCTGCGCTCCCATTGGTTATTCGTCGACATGGAGGCGGGGCCATCCAGGAATGCTGTGTTTCCTTTCCTACTCAATTCACTCTCCTCCCCCGCTTCCTCTCTCTCCCTACACCCCATTTCTAGGGATCATGTGATTGGAGAATCATGTGACACCATGGCCCGCCTCAGCCCGGCAGCAGGTGCTCGCCTTGGCGTTTTACCCCCATCCTGCGGGAGCCTGGGAGAGTTTGCTAGAGATGACAGCGCGCGTATCTGGGGACATTGATGGCCCAGGGGACTGCTCCTTCTAGGGAGTTCGGTCAAGGGCGTTTCCAGGATGTCTGCTTCTGGATTTGGGATGTTTGTGTGTCCCTTTCTATTCTATTCAGCATCCTTGGATGAAATGCTGGGCAGTCTCAGAGGGAGTTGAGGGTGGCTGTGAGGACAAAGATAAACAGCCCCTAGGCCCGGCACGGGGTCTCACGCCTGTACTTCCAGCACTTTGGGAGGCCGATAAGGGAGGATCGCTTGAGGCCAGGAGTTCAAGACCAGCCTGAGGAACATAGTGAAACCCCGTCTGTTAAAAAAAGTTTAAAAATTAGCCGGGCATGATGGCACGCGCCTGTAGTCCCAGCTATTCAGGAGGCTGAGGCAGGAGGATCGCTTGAGCTAGGAGTTCAAAGCTGCAGTGAGCTGTGATCACACCACTGCAATCCAGCCTGGGACAGAGTGAAACTCTGTCTCTTAAAAAAAAAAATTAAAGATAACCGCCCCCCCCACCCCCGCCAAGCCCTTCCCTCAAGGTGCTCATGGCAGGGGGAGGGACAGATTCAGACTAAATCTAATTTAAGGTACAAAGTCGGTTGCCAGGTGCTGTAGATGTGTGTAGGGCGACGCGGTAGATTGGCTGCAGGTGGGCACGAAATTTAATTCTACCTTGGGAGCACCTCCTTGAGCTGAGAATCTGGGAGGATTTAAACTGGCAGGTGGGGAGGGGTTGTTGGAAAGAGCCCTAGGAAACCAGATGGGAAGGGAAGCCTTGGCAGGGATTGAATGCCACATTCAATGCCAGTGGGCTTGAGGAGCTGCTGGGTGCCTGGCACAGGCTGGTCTGGGTGGGAGCTGACAGCGGAAGTGGCTTCCTTGTCTCAGTCGGCCTTGCCTTCGAGGAATTGGTATGGTGGGTGAGGAGAGAAAATGTACCACACAGACCAGATTAGCCAGTGACAAGAGCCAGACTGCTCAGTGCCAAAGGGCCTGGGCCAGGCAGAGATGGGTGATGGGAGATGGGCCAAGAGGGAGGAGAGGTCCAGGGAAAGCCTGGTGCTGGGCGGTGGAGGAAGGGCAGTGTTTTCTTACACAGAGCAGATGGAGAGCCCTGCAGGCTGCACCAGGAGCTTGCGCTGAGGGCCAGGCAGGAGCAGGGAAGGAGTGGCTGAGCATGGAGTCGTGTGGCAGGGGCTCTTAGCCTGGCGCTAGAGAGTGTCCAGAGAGTGGATAAGGCACCTGCAAAGGGTCTAGGACGAATCTGTGCCCTGGTGACACATTTGTGCTTATTTTCCTTCCTGTATATCCAGAGGCTAGGGAGTATAGCTTATGCTTCTATTGAAACACACACACACACATACACACACAGGCGCGATTTTCATGAAATGTTAGGCAAATCAATAAATGAACTTAATCACAACTACACAAAATCAGAGAAAAATACGAACAGGAAAAAAATCCCTAAACTAACTGAAACAGGGATCACAAAATCTAAACTTCAAAGCAATGATTCTCAAACAGGGACAGTTTTGCCCACCCATGACATTTGGCAATGTCTGGAGACATTCTGAGTTGTCACACTTGGGGGGAACGGATACTGGCATCTGGCGGGTAGAGGCTACCATTCTGCTAAACATCCTACAATACACAGAACAACCTCCCACAGTGAAGAATTATCCTGCCCAAAATGTTAATAGCGCTGAGGTTGGGAAAACCTGCTCTTTTCTTAAGGATCACAAACTTCTACGAGAGAGCTCAAAGTTTTTCTTGTGCAGAGCCTTTTTTCTCTTATTTCATATACTTTTACTAACTGTTGTTATCTGATTTCTCAGCAACAGTAGATTATAGAAAGACTAGGGGTTGTGTGCATTGAAGTTTCCAAAAGCAGTCACTTTGAGGTTAGCCAGGATTAAAAGCATCGAATAAAAAAATAGCAAAAAGCAGACTAAAGAACTTTAAAGGCCAATGTCCTAGGGACATTGACTGTAGAGGCAAACAGTCCTGGGTGCCTTAAGGACAGTAACTAATAGTCAAGATATGAACCCGAGCATTCAGAAACGTTTGAATCGTGCAGTTACTAGGATCACCATGGCAAGAAAGTGTGAAATACATTTACTAAAAGAGCTTGTCACACGGATGCAATGAACCTAGGGCACTTCAGCGGTGAGGGTACAGTTCCCCTGAGGACTGTGGAACATCTCCCAAGGTCCTCAAGAATGCCTCCATAGCCTGAGCATGAGCGAGATCTCATCTCTACAAAAAAATAGAAAAATTAGCCACGTGTGGTCACGCATTCCTGTACTTCCACCTGCTCAGGAGGCTGAGACAGGAGGATCACTGGAGCCGGGAGTTTGAGGTTGCAGTGAGCTATGATCAGGCCACCGCACTCCAGCCCCGGCAACAGAGCGAGACCTCGCCTCAAATACAAAAATGGGATCGTACTGCATGTAATGTTTTACAGTTTGCTCCTTACACTTCACGATGCATTTTGGAGACCATTCCATGTCAGTACAAATAATCCTTCCAATTTTTTTCTCCTTTTTTTATAATAACTTCTTTATTGAGATAAGATTCATATACCATAAAATTCACCCTTTTAAAGTGTACAACTGAATGGTTTTTAATATATTAACAGAGTTGTTCAACCATCACTACAATCAACTTAAGAACATTTTTCATCACTCCAGAAGGCTTTAGTAGTCACTTCCTATTCTGCACCCTCTCTGGCGTTAGGCAGTCACTTATCTACTTTCTATCTCTGTAGATTTGCCTATTTTGGACATGTCATATACATGGAATTTTATAATATGTGATCTTCTGTGACTGGCTTATTTCACTTAGCATTTTTTCAAAGTTTATCTCATAGCATGTATGATATTCCCTTTTATTGCTAAACAATATTCCACTGTATGGATAAAGCACAATGTGTTACTCATTCATCGGTCAATGGACATTTTGGATGTTTTCACTTTTTTTTTTTAGGTTCAGGATTTCCCATTAACTCTTAATGGCATTTCGGTATTGTACGGCTTTGCACAAATGCTGTAGCACTGACTAGATTCAAGCCAATGTCCAACCTGTCCACATATCTTTGGGGCTGGAAGACATGCAGGGCGCCTTGCATTTCTTACTTGAGTAGGTTCTGTTCTTGAACTTTTTCTGATATTGTTCTCTGTGTAGCAATTGTTCCTGGAAGGGCCGTTCCAACTCTAACCTCTTCTCTATACCGGAAGGGATGGATCCAGATTTGTGAATGTCTTTTCCCTTCTCTTCTCTTCTCCTTCTGGAATGCCTGTAATATGAATATTTGTTCACTTACTGGTGTCCCATAAATCCTATAGGCTTTGTTCCTTCTGTTTTATTCTTTTTTCTTTCTTTCTTTCTTTCTTTTTTGTCTGCCTGTGGTATTTCAAAAGACCTGTCTTCAAGTCCAGAAATTCTTTCTTCTGCTTGATCTAGTCCATTGTTGAAATTTTGGCTATTATGAATAATGCTTCTGTGAACATTATTATACAAGTTTTCATGTGGACTCATGTTTTCATTTCCACCTCGAAGTGGAGTTGCTGGGTCACATAGCAATTCTGTGTTTAACGTTTTGAGTAACTACCAGACCATTTTCCAAAGCAGCCGCGCCATTTCACATTCCCACCAGCCATGCATAAGGGTTTGAATTTCTCCTTATCTTCACCAACATTCATTATCTTCTGTTATCATCTGTTTTTCTTACTATAACCATCCTAATTCCTCAGTGTGGGCTGGCAGTCTCGAGACCCAGGAGACCAATGGTGCAGTTGAAGTCTGAGGGCCAGCAGTCTGCTGGTGGGAATTCCTCTTGCTTGGGGAGGCCAGTCTTTGTTTGTTTGTTTGTTTATTCAGGCCTTTAACTGATTGGGTGAGGCCCATCCACATATGGAGGGCAATTTCCTTTCCCAAAGTTCACTGATGTAAACATGAATCTCATCCAAAAACAGCACCCACGTAGATTTACAAAATTAACCTTTGCATAATCCTCTGCTCATTTCTCTGCAGTGTTTGTATCTTTCTTGTTGAACTGTAGGAGCTATTTATATATTCTGGGTGTTACATTTTTAATGTATGTTGCAGACATTTCCTCCCAATCTGTTGCCTTTTGTGTTGTTATGTCATCTGAAATCTATTGATCAATCTTTTCCTTTGTGGCTTCTGCTTTTTTCTTCTTCTTTCTTTCCCCTTGCTTGAGTTATAAATACGCACTTCCTGGTCTGTTTCTATTCCTGCTGCAGCCCCAGCTATACGAGGCCCCAGCTGCCAGCCCTGCCCTGAATTGAGGTGGTGACAAGTGACAGGAGGTCACACAGAGCCTGGTATAGAGAGGGCCCTGGGGGTGAAATCACACCTCCCTCCTGTTCCGTGTGCCCCTGGGACTAAGAGTTTCCTCCAGGTCAGCCGCTCGCTACTCTGCGAGATGGACGTTGGGCGAAGGCCTGGCCAGCTACTCTCTGTCCCTCCTTCCCGTCTTTCACCCTCTGGCTCATTCTTCCACTTGCCCTTTCAGGGTTTTCTTCATTCACAATTACTATTCTGCCCCCACAGAGGAGCCACAGCTGCTCCAGGGCAGGGGCTTCCCAACCTCAGGCTCTTGAGTTGCCAGATAAAATATAGAATGCCCAGTTAAATTTGAATTTCAGATTAAAAGTGCATTTTTCAGTGTAAGTGTGTCC